CGCAAAAAATTCTTATATTAATTTTTTAAAGGTCAATACTAATTTCTATATTTTGTAGTTACTTTTTTTTTCTTTTTCCTTTATTTTCACATTAAATTGTTCTTTCTGATTTACTGAGAGAATCCACTTAATCTTATATATAATTATGTTAATATGTACGATTTTAAAATCTCTAGAAAGCAATTTGAGCAAGCCAACATTTCTCAGAGCATTTGTACAATTCGACAGTCAATTCGCAGAAAAAGTAAACGACATTTTTGTGACACTGAGGTAACAAATCTAAATTCTCAGTTTGTATTCCTTCATTTTTCTCTTTTTTTCTTAAATCCAACTACATAAATATATCAATATGTTAATTCTGTTACAATTTTCTTAAATATAAAATAACTAAAATTAAATTTTTTTACAGATGGAACCAACCTGAATTTACCGATGAAATAATACAAGAGTACCAAGTGCAGTGTTCTATCTTTGAAAACTTTAAAGAAATCTGCGACGATAAAAATATCACAACTACAAAATTGGAGCACACGGTGCACAATCTAATATCTAACACGACATATTATTTTCGAGTATGCGCGCATACTAAAATTGTTGCTGGTCCTTATACGGATTTAATCAATCTGTCGACTACACATGAAAATCCAATACCTAAATTATTACTCACAACGAATCAAGGTATCCAGATATATGAACATTACTCATTTCGTAACATCAAAGTATGTATATTGATAAAAAAATAGTTATAATTATCATAAATTATTTTTAACACTAACTATAAAATTAAAGTTATTATTATTATGCACAAGTTTATTATTATCAACATTATAGCAATAATAACTGTAAAATTAGAAATCTCAATTATAAATTTTTTACTATACAATTATAGTTGGCTCCTTCTTTCAGAGCAGTAATAAATGTCGCTTATTCGATACAAGACAATAAGATTTATTGGATTGACAAAAAAGACTTGATGACATTGAAGATTAGTGAAAATAAAACCACAAAAATAGCTAGCTTTGAGCATTATCTATATGATCTCTGCATTGACTGGGTAGCAAGAAATCTATATTTCACCTATGAAAAGTCAGCTTCTTATATTGTAAAGTTTGACTTAGCAATGGGAAAATAACATAATTAAATTTGATGAAATTTTGAAATCAAAAAATAATGACCATTTAAATGTATTACCATCTATAGGGTACGTTTACTAACCGTTCATCTAAAAAAATAATTTTCCATTAAAAATTTATGAATATTTCTAATTTTTCTATAATTTTACGTGGTTTCATAATTAAGATCATAAGTAAAAAAAATAATAAATTATAATATATTTATAAGAATTTCGAATTTTTAATACATACAAGTTTCTGTTTGTGTTAAAATATTATTTTATAATGAGTAAAATAATTATATATTTTTTAGAATTTTGTATTCCGTATTTTACAATTTGACGAGTACAACATATAACATAAAAAAATATCATCTCGATGGAAAAATCAAACAAATTGTTTCAATAAATGCATCTTTGTGCATGTTTATTTAAATGCATGTTTATTTCATTATAAAGATCATTTCCATGATATGATAATTGATAACATGAATAATGAGACGCCGTTAATTTACTGGTTAAGTAGGAATTACACAATTGTAACAAACATTAACATTTATATGTGCAATACGATTTTACACAAGAGAAACATAAGTAATGACATTTACTTCACATCTATGACGATTGATATAACAAACATTTACATTTTAACATATGATTTGTATTATTATGCTAAATATACTAAATATACTCATATATATGTTTTGAAAAAGAAATATGCAAATCTCAAGAGCGTAAATGCAGCCGAATATGTTGAAAAGATAATAATAAGTTCAGATGATAATACGTTTTATAAAATTTACTCTTTTGATAAATCTTTACAATCATATCCTCCAATGAAATGCCTGACACCTGACGAAAAAGTTTATAATTTTGAGAATGTGAATGCAACGGCAAACAGCATCGTTGTGAATCTTCCGGAGCCGGTTGTAAAAAGTGGATGCAAAAAATATAATTTACCAACTACTATGTATACTATTTCCGTAAGCTGTTTAGATAACAATCTCAACAAGTCTGAGAAATTCAATGTGCAGACGTACAAGCGGTATTACGAGATTCAGAACTTAACACCATTTACAGTGTACAAGTTGAAGTTTATTTTAAGCAATTTTTACTTTGATCAATTATCAATAAAACCATTCGATTCGAATGTGCTACGAATAAAAACTAATTCGGGCAAGCTTAATGCACCAGAAAACATAAGTGTTCTAGCTTTGACGCCTGCTATAACAGTAATTCATTGGATGCCACTCAAAAAAGTGAACTGCGTGGCCTATGAAGTGCATTGGAAATCAGTTACATTAATGAATGACACGCAACAAAAGAGCAAACAATTTATCAATGTGCCGAAACGTATGGCAGACGGCAGATTTTTCACAAAAATTTATTTGTCGCTAGCAGTACAAGATTACTTGATATATGTGCGTGTGTGTCCAATTAATTTCAGCGATTTCTGCAACGAGAGTTTAAGCAAGATCGTTCACATATACTCAGAACCAAACAATATTACTTTGAGCGGGGTCAGCATAAATAGTATGAACATTTCATGGATCTCAAACATTAATCTGACGATCTTTTTTATATTAGAGTACAAAGATATTGCAGTAGAGAAGTGGCAAACAATGAATTATATTAAAATGAATTATAACCAAGAAGTAACATGCCATGTCGAAAATTTACAATCGGGAACTTTATACAAGTTTCGCTCGATTTATTAAGATACCTCGAATATGAGGTAAATTTTATATGGCCAGCTGATGAAAGATTTATTTTTTCGACACGTGGCAGCAAACGTGGTAAGCAAATAAAAATACCCATACAACACAATAAAGTTACGGATATGTTAAATAATAATTACATTGAAACATTGCAATATTGCAAATCGATTGCGAAATTCTGCTGATTTATTGTTATAAGATTGTGATGAAGTTAAGCTAACCGCTTTTCGCAATGAAATATTGTAGCAATGTTACAGTGTAATATATTGGAAAGAGTGCAATGTTATTGCAACCATATTTTTTATTTTGATGGTTGAATATCTTGGAAACATTTAATTAAATTAAAAAGCTTGATATAAACATTTAATTAAATTAAAAAGCTTGAACAAAAAATTACTTGAATTTAGCTTGAACATTAAATTAAAAAGTTTGAACAATTAAAAAGATAAACATTTAATTAAATTAAAAAGCTTGATATAAATACAAGTTTGCAATATCTATGATAATCATATCTAAGATAATATATTGCAAAATTATATTTAAACATAATCATATAACATAAAATGTGATATTTTTATACAAAATTATTTTAAACTTACTTATACATTACTTATACATTACTAATTATATTTTTATTTATAAATTTAAAAAATCCGTTATAATTATATACATTTGCATGTGAAAGGTACATAAAAATGGATAGAAAAATATAATGATGGGGGATGGGGATATAATAGTATCTACATACTTAATATAATAAAAAGATATATCTTTGAAGATTAATATCGTATTCATACATAAAGTGAAAATATATCATAACATATATTGTAACATTAATATAAAATGTTATCTGTATTTTAATAAAAAAATGGCAATGCTTATCGTTAGCTTAAAATTATATTTACTCGACTGATATTATTTCTGTGTCATTATTTCATTTGACTTTTGCAAAAAAGTAAAATTATCGCATATATACAAACATAAAAAATATATTATTACAATATTTTTATAAATAAATTGAAAAGTGTTATAGTTTTAAAATGTTTCTAAAATATAAATATCATATTATCATATTATCAAATGTTTCATAAATTCATACTTTGTTAATTTATATTTCTATAATGTTTCCGTAATGTTGCATTACAATTTGTGGTATTGCAATATTGCTGCAAAGTAGTTGTAACATTCTGTGCTATATAAATGTTATAATACTATATTATGTGCTAATTTTTTAAAATATGAATAAGCCTATAATTTAAAAAAATTAAATTTTTGTAATAAAGTTATAAGTAAAAATAAATTTGTAAAAACATACACACACGAAGATATTAACATTACATTTTTGTTTAATATAGATATTCCGAGCACTCCTGGAATAATAGCGAAAAAATATTACTTATTATTGATGTTAAGTTTCATCGTTATAGTTATAATCTGCGTCTACAACTTTTATCGTTGTAAGTATATTTGATTTAGGTATCAACTTGAATTATAGATTATACATATATATCTGATATAATATCTAAAAATTTACTGAAAATAGTAATTTACTTATATAAAACTAAACGATTAAATTTACTAAGAAACAATAGATTTATAATATATATTATTACATAATTAAGTCGAAATTTTATAATAGTGTATCGTCAACGCAGAGGTAATAATAAACAATGTTTGTCTTCAACGATGAACGATATAGAATTGGCGATTCTACATGAAGTACCTTGCCGAAACACTCAATTCAATATGATTTACAGTTCTATGTTACATTATAACGGATGAATGTGCGATAACTAAAGTCGCATCTAAACAGATTACATTTACAAAACTTCTTGGTAGCGGCGCATTCGGAAAGGTAAAAATTAATTTTTTCAAACAATATTTCAAATTAATTTCTGAATCAACAAAACAGATATGTATTTTCCAATAAAGATATAAATTACATTAATTTGTATAATAGATTATAAGTAATATGAAATTTAAATGAGACAACGAACGTCCACTTTATTATATATTTTTCGTTGAATTAATTAATATAAAGTAAAATATAATATTATTTGATATTAAACTATACATTTTCTAATAAAGTACGTATGTAACTTTGTATGAAATTTGCAGGTGTTTCAAGGAAATGTGGAGAACTTAGAAGGATCCGGCATAGAAATATCCGTTGCAATAAAAATGCTTCGAAAAGATGCTTCTTCAAATGAGAAAAAAAAATTTTTAAAGGAAGCCAAGCTTATGAATCATTTTCGACACAAACATATATTAAGATTGTTGGCCATTTGTTTAGATGGAGATTCTCCGTTACTAGTGTTGGAATTGATGGAAACTGGTGATCTGTTAAAATATTTGAGAGATTGTCGAAATTTGCAACCGTCAGATTCGTATGCTCTGCGTTTGCAGGATTTGCTCGCCATGTGCGAAGATGTTGCGCGAGGTTGTTGCTACTTGGAAGAGTTGCGTTTCGTACATAGAGATCTAGCGTGTCGTAATTGTTTAGTATCTTCGAGAAATCGCGAGAATCGTGTCATCAAAATTGGAGATTTTGGACTAGCCAGAGATATCTACAAGGATGATTATTATCGCGTGGTAAATACAACTATTAAAGAAAATTAGTGATTAAAAAATAAATTCTTTTGGAAATACTTTTCTTATCATAATAGTCAATAATTCTTATCATAATAGTATATCATACATTGTTTCTTTAAGTAATATAGAATATAAATCGTTTGTATTTATATAAAGCAAGAGATAAACGAATATTTTTTTCATTTTACACATATTCTAAAAATGAACCAGAAAATTAAATTTTTATTAAAATCTTATTTTAGAAAGGAGAAGGTTTGTTTCCTATTCGCTGGATGGCACCAGAATCTTTGACGATTGGAATATTTACTTCTCGAAGCGATGTTTGGTCATTTGAGGTATTAATATGGGAAATTACATCGTTGGGTGAGCAATCTTATATTGCCAAGACTGATGAAGAAGTAATAAATTATGTTCGTGCTGGAGGCAGGTTGCCGATGACTCTTAACTGTCCGTCAACGTTGTACCAGTTGATGCTGCGTTGCTGGAGTACAGCGGATGCCAGACCAAATTTCAAACTTTGTTTGAGAAATATTATAGCAATAAGAAATAACATAGAAGATACCTTACTGCGTCCAGTCGATATTATTTAGCCAATATAATTAAAGTAATGTTTATCTTCTTTTCCGAACGATTCAATAAATCTTAATGTAGGAAAAATATTTCTAGAATATTTCTAAATTGATTCTGTTATTTTCAGATTTAATCTTAATATTAGATTTATGAATGAACATGAAAGATATTTTTTAATCTTATTTTCCGAAAATTTTAATTATTAAAAAAATATCACACCATTTTTTATGATTGCAAACGGCTGATATATTGATGCTAATTTGTATTTTCGAATATTTGTCTTTGAGTAATCGAAGCGAAATCTAATGGTTGCGAGTATATTTGTTTATGGAATTTAATTACTTTTTGAATTTATAAGACGTAAAATAATTTCTTAATTTTATATAAACTAGAAAAATATTCTTTTTCTGATCTTTCCTCAATATTTTTATACGCAAAATAATGAAAGGAATCAATTGGTAGAAATAAAAACATAGTTGTTTTTTAAGAAAAATGTATGTAATTTGCACCTACAGCTGTTTTAATTTCGAGATATATACAAACTTGGTACTCCAAAATTTCATATCTTACTTCTATCTAAAGATCTTTTATGCTCCTTTGCATAACACTTTGTTTTTAAAATATTCCATTTTTATATTGCAGAATATATTAAATAGCGAAAAA